ATGTATTTTTATGATTTAGAAAAAATATAAAATAATAAATATTTGAAATTATTCTTAATTTTAATTTGACGATTATTTGAAAAAATAATAATTTTCTCAATATTAATGAATATTGATTAATTTAAAATTTTATGTAACTTTTTTTGAAGATAAAATTATACAATATTTTAATTTCTTTCAGTATGATCGAAAAAATCGCAGATTTTTAACAAGTTTATAAATTTGAAAAAATCACGAATAAACTATAATAAATATTACCTAACAATAAGATTTATAAAAAGATAAAAATAACTCTGATACAAAAATAATTTTTTATAACATAATATTATATTTTTAATAGCACTGACTCATTGAAATTTCTAGCAATATTTTAACCTGTATTCGGAAATGCAAGACGGCAATTACGTAGCAGTAAAATCCAGGTAACTGTTATTAGAATTTATAACTGATATGTTCATTCATTCTCAAATATGAAGAAAAATATTTTTTAAAATATTTTGCGCATAGGTTATAAAATCGTGCATTAAAAGAAAAACTACAAAAAATAATTCTTAAAAATAAAATATTAAAATTGAAAAATGTTATACTAATAATATTTATTCCATACTTTTGAAGAACAACTAGAAATCTTGATAAATATATAATTTAATTTGGACATTACAATAAAATTAATAATAAATTCAAAAATAGTAAGATCAAAGGAGAATTCAGAAAAAATTTGTATTGCGATTTTCGCAATGAGTGTTACTTATTAATTGATTTACAGGCGCATTTAAAATTCGAAAATTCACTTCATTAAAATTTAAATCTCCATTTGCTATTTTTTGATATTTGTTACTTAGAGCCCATATATATTCGTTATTTTGATATCCAAAAATACTTAAAGATATTTCCTTGGAAATTTTTATACCACTGATGAATTGAAGAGTGTCGCTATTTTTGGCGACTATTTCCTAAAAATTTGAAAATTATTTTAACATAATTTGTATTTTATTTACACAGTATGTAACAAATATTTAATGTTATTAGTATCATAGAATTAACACAGTGATACTCATATATTAAGTATAATGATCTCATTTTTAAAATTTTAAATAGTTAAAATATAATAATAATCGTCACGAAAAATAATTATAATGTAATAAAAATGTGTCTTTGTTAAACAATTTAAAAATATAATTATATTTATAAATAAATTGAAATCAATATCTTTATTGACTTTTAAAAAAATAGTTTCTAACATATTATTGGGATTATCTTTTGTTATTTAGATTATTGACATTTAGATTATCTGTTTGTTATTTAAAATTGAAAATAAAGAAATAAATTTTTTGCGAAAAATTTATACAGAACAGACTATATATATTATATTATATCATATTATATTATATTATATATTGAGAAAAAAATCAAAATTGATTTTCTAAAGAAATTGTTTATCAAAAAAGACACAGTATTTTGAGAATATTAACTATATATATGATACAATTAAATTAAAATTTTTATTCGAAAAATACTACTTTAGAAACAAGACAATCTATATTGTTCGAAATAAATATATTGTTACTTATGAATGCTGTAGAAAAAAAAAATATTTGCAATTACTAACGATATTCCTCCTTTTTAGTGGCCGATTCTCGTTCCAGCAACCAAGTGCTGTATCACTCACGAGTCCAAAGAAAAGAGCACCAGTTTTCGATATTGCTTTAGCGCTCGCTTGAGTCCATAAGATATCCGAGGCTCTGTGAAACAAACAAAAGAATATAAGTATCTAAATCATTTAATATATAATATGAAAAAACATTGTTTAACTACATACCCTTGATATTGTACATTATTAGCCTGAAATTGCCCTTGTGTAAATTGTTTTGTGTTGACATAATTCAAATTATGAGAAGACATAGCACTATAATAAAGATTTTGTGTTTTATGACTTAGTGCCATACCCAAAATTCCATCGTACAACGTGAAACTTTCTTTATTGATAGTATAATTGGTATATCTGGGATCGTATACGAAAGTGCTCGAAGTCAATCGTTGGAAAGAATCGTCGGCATTGTTATAAATAATCAATGCATAACCTTCGACGTCTGCTATGTATACCTATTATAAATGTAATTTATAATAGAATTTATATTATATATTATAATAATTAATATCTTGAACTTTCAAACTTTATAATTGTTTTTCTTTAAATTTGTTTTAGAAGAAGAATTATGCTGAAATGATTTCATAATGAAAATTATGAAGATTTTATTTGACGTTTATTAAGAAGTTATTAATAAAAACTTTTCTATGAAATATCGAATATATTTTAATATAAAAATATTATTAATTTTGATCAAAATTAAATTGATCAACTTTTTTGAAATTAATTATCTAGTTTCCTAAAAATTCAATAATTAATAATTTTTATGCTAAAATGAATTTTTTAAAAAATTTGCTAAAATTGGTTTCAAAGTGATCAAACAAGACTTACCAGAGTATTATTATAATCAAAACTTTGAACGATTGGAGTTACTAGATTTCTATTTCCAGTAGTAGAATTTATCGCAATATTGTGCGGTATTTTAACTTGTTTTAACAATTTTGAAGTTTTCAAATCAAAGACGACAATTTTCGAAGGGCACACAGATGTCTCACCGCTAATACCATTGTCTAAAACCCATAATCTATCCCATACGTCAATCTAAATAGAATATCATAATAAAATATATTAATTGAATTTTTCTTTCTATAAAAAGAAAAATAGAATATAATAGAACAATACTATTTTTATAACGCATAATAAAAATTGCACTGTTGTCGCCATGTGGTACGATTAAATTAAATTTGGAAAATAAGTACAAAAGTGAAATTTGAGGAAATGATACAAAGAAACATATTATCAAAAAATAAAGAATAGAAAAATTCTACTGGAGAAATGGATCAACACTCAAGAAAATGATTGATTTTTCATCATAATACATCCATATAACGTATCTCTAATGTTATAGAAGTCTATTATAATTCCAACATGAAAACAGTTCTTAATTACCGCAACTCTGTAAACGCTCGTAATACCAGAACAATTTTGATTTTCCGCCCACGACCAATTAGGATAGGGTTCCAGAAGTGGTCCATTATCGCCAATTTTGTTAGATATCACGTTCAAAGACGAAGGCACACCATTATTTCTTATTATGGTGACAAAAGTTTTATCTAGAACGAAAAATATAAAATATTAAGAATTAGATTGTTGCATACATA